CATAAACTATATCTCATAATTTTAAAGTTCTAATAAATCTTCTTCATAAACAACATTTGCAGTTTTCTTTCCATCTACCAATAAATAAAGATTTTGAGGTGATTCCACCATTGAAGATGCTACATCTCATAGACCATGAGAAAAGCATGGTTGTTTGAGAAATAATCCAGCAGCTGTCATACTTTGACCTTGAATTCCTTTAGAATATTCAACATTGTCTAAAGCATCAACCTGCTAAGATTGTTTGACATTGAATCAATAGGCTGGGAGTAATTAACCAACAGGCCTTACAAAATAGAAATGGAATTAAATTCAATTTTGACCCCTTTAGAATACTCCACACAGTTCATAGTGTTTACATACAAATTTCGGTTAAGATTGACCCAATAGGCTTGGAGGAGTTAAGAGTGCAAACACATTTTGTCTTTATACATATAGATTTAGAAATACTGTTATAGGACAACAATTGCAAGGAATAAATAATACTTTTTAGAGCTTATGCCATGGTGGTCTTTGTTGGATAGTGTGCTTTAGATTCCAGCCCGTGTTAAACATTCTTTAAGCTGTATTGCTGGTTTTGTTAACTTGTAAGTTTGAATAAAATGCTAACTATATTCTTAGCTGTCTTAATTGCAAGTTGGCTACAGTGACAAGTAACTTGTAGATTGAGTTTGTTTTATTTTTGACGTAAGTTAACATTGCAGAGTGTCTGTTTATGCATAATTATTCCTTACTTTGAAACATAATATAAAACACCATTGTTATTGATTAGGTCATTTGATTATTGGTCTTTATTATGATGATTTTATTAATTTTATGGTAATATTTAATTGCACAGTATAATATATTTACATTACTTAGGATAAATTTGTAAACTTACTCATAAAGGGTTTGTTCCCTGTGGCTGTTGCATTGCATTAATCACTAAGAATATTGATAAATACTAAAGGTATCAGTGTTGATTAGGAGATATAACATTTTCTTTTTTTCTAAAGTTGCTAACAAAACCTAGACCACTTGAGTAGTAAAGGTGTTCAACTTGGGATACTTTGTAAAACTAGTTTTTCTAAGTAATCTGTGAAACAGTAAGAGGTCTTGATGAGAGTAAATTTGAGAAGTTTGAAGATGATATATAACCCACATCTATCATTATATATATAAGTTAAATGTATGTATGTGTGAATGATGTTTCATATATATATTGGAATGTGAACAATACTCTTATACTAAGTTATTCTTTGAACCACACAAAATTTGACTGAGGAAAGAGACGATCCACAAAAGGCAAGGTAATCCTGACTTTACTAATACATGGAGTATTTACACATATACTTACAAAAGCACACAATTTCACCAAAGGTGAAGAGATATATAGGTCATTCTAAACATGTGAGAAAGTTTTGAAAGAACTGATATCTGAAATATTTGTGTGTGGTGCTCTTGCATTTTTCCTGAAAATAACATTCAAATATGGACCTTGTTTGCAGATATTGTGTATGTTAAAATATTAATGGGATATAGGTTTACACATTGAACTTATGTAAAATTCAAAAAAAGAAAAAATGTAAAGTACCCATGCATAGAACATTGGGTCAGTGATAAGATTTTGTACATAGAACATAGAAATCCTGAGTTTAGTTCCTTGTGTTGGATTACAAAGCACAGATAGCCCATTGTGGGTGACTGAAATGTCACTAGACTTCACAAGCTTATCCTGCACATTAATATAATTTTAGAATTGGCCCATTTATATATCTCATTGCCCCCCCCATAAAAAGTTAGGAAAAGTTTGAGCTAAGGCTCACTAAAGTGGCAATTGAAAAATAACCTTTTTTAATACTTTTTTTATTAAGTTTTAATCAAACACTCATTATTTGTTTACAGACCATATGTATCCATGCATATGGGTGCTACATATGGTGCTTCATGAACATTTATGTTTTTAGAGCATTAATATATTAACAGTCTGTATTGAACAGTTATTGACTGGTTATGATATCAACAGATCATTTCTTGCCTAGGGAGTGAAATGGGCGGCATCTGTATAGTTGGTTTATTTTACCCTCTGGCACGTGGTACAAAACATTTTCAGTGTTAGCTGTAAAGCCGGGAAACAAATCACTCCAACGTTGTCAGGTTGTTAAGATCATACCATGCATGGGTAACGTCGCAGCAGAAGTTTCCAGACGACGATTTTTTGCACCACAGTGAAAATACATTGATTCATCTAATTTACCAACAATGTATCTCGCCAGCATTCTAGGCAAATTTTATACTGAAATTAGATGGGTGTGTACTTTATAGATGCAGTGGCATAGCAAGGGTTTTCAGCACCTGGGGGCAAAGACACTTTTGGTGCCACCACCTCTGAAATGTTTTGATTATTTGTTATGTGACTCATTACCAACTTAATGACAATAACATAAAGAATTAATAATTGCCTTACACAAGCCTAAAATAAAGTAAAAATATAACATCTCACAACATCACAACTGTAAACCTGGAACAAATGAAATATAGCCTACTGTCATCCAGTATTGTTCAAAGTCACATAGCTAGAGTAATCTTTCAAGCATGTAGAATAAAATTCTGTTATATCCCTAGTTTTGAAACTTATGTTTTATGTGAGAAGCCAGTCACTTGTGGTGTACATGGATTATAAATCAGATTGATAAAATACTACTTAATTTACAAATAACAAATTTTATTAGTATTGTTACGACAGCAGAAGTCACGCGACATTGGTAACACGTAATGAGTATCTAGAAGATTCGCGAAAAACGCTAGTGTGTTACGACAGAGGAAGTCAAGTAATGCTGGTAGCACGTGATGAGTGTCTAGAAGATTCTGGAAGAGGCTACGCGGGCAGTATTATTGTGTATATATATATATAAGTGCGCTAGACAAAGAAGACAGGGGAGAGTGGGGAAACAAGGACAGCAGTTACGGTCGGTGGGAACCGAGGATAGCAGATACAGAGATCGGAACTATAGTTGCTGACAGGCGGAAATAGAGATGGACAATTGAGTCAAGCGTGGTAGTAAAGTAAGTGAATTGTTGTGAATTATAGCGTGTGTTTAAGTTAAAGTAACTGTGGAAATTAAGCATATTGCAAAGTTGTATTGAGGAAGAATAAACTAGTTTTATTTAAGAAAGGACTTGTATCACAGAAAAATTAACAGACGAACATACAAAGATGTAACAAATTGGTGTCAGGAGTAGGATTGAAAAGTGAAAAAAAAATGGAAATGAGAAGTGGCAAATCAAACTACAGCTTAGCAGATTTGATGGCAGTAATACAAGAACAGCAAAAGAAACAAGAAGACAGACAACAGCAGTTGCAAGAAAACCTGCAACAGTGGCAGCTCCAACAGCAAAATAAACAAGAAGAGAGATTACAGCAGTTGTTGGAGGAAAAAGAAAGAAACAAGAAGAACGAGAAAAGAAACAAGAAGAGAGATTACAGCAGTTGTTGGAGGAAAAAGAAAGAAACAAGAAGAACGAGAAAAGAAACAAGAAAAGAGATTACAGCAGTTGTTGGAGGAAAAAGAAAAGAAACAAGAAGAAAGAGAAAATAAACAAGAAGAGAGACTACAGCAGTGGCAACTGGAACAAGAAGTACAAATGGAAAAGCTTAGTAAATTTCAATTAAATACATTGAAAGATGATTTATTGTCTTTTACACAAGGAGGATACATTAACCAT